CTTTTTTTTGGAGAGATGGGTTGGGTGTTTTCTTCTTCTTTAGGAGAATTTCTATATCAATATCAATGTTATGTTTTATATTTAAAAAGTGGAGTTTTTCTTGTGTAATTATAGAAAATACATTTAACTTATTTCAAATAGTAATATATCTCTTATTTAAAAATATTGTAATTATTTTTGTAGAATTGATACTCAATTTTCTTAGCGTTCGACTTACCCTGGTTGAAATACTTTGAGACAGAGTTCCTCCCCTTAAGCCACCCATTAATCCTCGAAATCCTTGAAAGTTCTCGCCTTTTCCTGATCTCTTTTTAAAAAAAATAATATAGCTTTAATACCATTTATCAAATGTTTAAAAAATATAACAAAATATATAAGGGGGTATTTATATAATATGCATGTATAATCAAAGATGATCACAAAAAAAAATGGATTTTTTAAAATAAAATTTGATTTAATGCTTTATTATTTTAACATTAAGATACATATTTTATTAGTTTTACAAAATTTTAAAATTGAAATAGGAACCAGAAGTCTCTGTCGAGACTGAAGCTCTACTGGTTTGAACTTATAGCAAAGGAAGAGTACTTAAGCAGCTGGGATTTGAAACTTTACAATAGCAATATATAGAATAATGATCGTTGATAAATTCTCTTTATTTTCATAGTGTATTCTACTTGTGTGCCAAGTTATATTTATAGTATTTTTACCTGTATCTATATAATGCTACTGTGATGGCGGAATAAACAGGCAAATACTATGAGATAAAATCCGCATTTTATTGCGTTAGTGGTCGCCAATAATATGTAACAATTACACAAACTTACAGAGGACAAGTGTGTAACACGTCTTGTCGGGTCGACGATCAGCAGAGAGAAGAGAGTGACGATTACGTCACAGCCCACATCACTGCCGGGCACGTGTTCTGGAGGTTACTGGAGAAATCGTTCCAAGCTCCTCCAGGACCACTACACTCCTCCCCATTTTGTAGGAGGGCGTCCCAGCCCGTAAAGTTAATACAATGCGACAAACTATAATATACAAATACTAAAAAGTTAAGACCCAGCAGGGCCTATCTTACATACATACACATGCATTCACGTAATAATAAAGCTTTAAACATTAATGTCTCTATAATAATAAAAATCACAATTAAACAGTTCATATCACACAGTCACTCATTATCCGCGTCGTCTCGGATCACCACGAGGTCCCTCGTTGTTAATATCTACCAAGTGGTCCAACGTTGATACATCTGGATAGGCTCTGCTCAGTACATTTAAGACATCAGGACTATCTGCTCCCAATTCAGGTAAGTTCAGTTAAGTACATCCGGGCTACGAGTCTCGGCTATAGCATAACTGGTTCAAATCGGTCCCCTCAACTAAGGTCCAAAGAACACCCTAAAATTTCTGAAAACTAGGCCCGTCAGCAAGGCGACATCCTGTCCCCTAGCTGCGGCGACTCTCCGGTACATTTCTCCGATGTGCCTGGGGCCCATCGGCGCTTCAACACCACAAGGAAACTCGGGACTATCCGACTCGACCAGCAGTCGGTCCATAGGAATAGCTCTAACTCCCGACAACTGAATCGCGGACATCTCCGCGATCCGACCTCCAACTCCAAAAAATACGGGTCGACCGACCCCACCCAGAGTCTCACCTGCTCCGTTCCACCTGAAGTCACGGACAAAGATAGGTACCAGGATGGAAACGAACATCCCGTCCAACAGTACAAGGCAATCTTTGGTAGGGACGCGGCCCAAAGGGTCGTACGCGGTCCCCCTCAAAACCAGTATCGTCCCTGTACTGAACGACGCCTGGCGGAAGAACTCCGCCAGCACAAACCTCTGGCACCTCTGAGTGGATGGACCGGAATAGTCCACTCCGATCTCCCCTAACACAAGGTTCCTGTTTCTACACACTCCCACAACGCGGGCTACATCTGCTTGCAGAATCAAGTCCGCCAACCCAGGGGGAATCCCCTGGGCTACAACCCAATGCGGATTTCCTACCTCCGAGAGAGGTTCCTCTCGGAAATCATAAGTCACACATCTTTTCCTCGGCGGAGCTTCCGCCCTCAAAGACAAACTCATCAACTTCCTTAGACATCACTTACGAACCTACAAAGACAGGTAAGGTTATCAAACTTATGTCTAACGTACTAATTCATGAACAAGTCTACCCTAATCTGATGTAAACCTAACTAAGACTTGCACATGCTTCCGCACCCCTGCGGGAACCTAACTGCTCTAACTAACCAGTGTCGACTCTGACGGGACTACAATCGGGGCAGATATATTGAGGTACAGACTTAGCATAATCCTCACTTATACCCACACACCCTGGGTGAAACCAGTCCCGACAATTGTCGCACTGCACCATCATTCCCTTGGGATTAGACTGTAGACAAACACAATACTTCTTAGTCTTAGTTCCCCTAGTGGCTCTAGGTCTCTTGGGCGATTGGGGTTGTTTAGTTTGGTCTAATCTTTCCCTAACCCGTTTTCGAGTACCCATATATAGACCTACTGACTCCGCTGGTTTGGGGCTAACTTTTGAGTGACCCCCACTCCCAGGCTCTCAGGACTTAATCCTGAGTCTGCGGACCCCAGCGGTGTTACCACGTCATGAACAAGGGAACTATCCCCATCTGGGGCTACAGACTGTCCGGGCAACTTATTTTGTAGTTTATTAACCATTTAGGGAGTTGCCTGGACTCGCACATTTTATGCTTGTCATTGTGCATGACCTTGACCTCGCGCCAAGATTTTACAACAAATATTGGGTCTGATTTCGTTTCTATTATTATCCCAGGACCCCTCCATACTGACTCTACCTTTTTTTCCCGCATTGCAGCGCCAGTAAACCAAATCTCCGACCTTGAATTTACTGGTACGGACCTTAATGTCATTGCTTTTTGCGCGACTTTTAGTTTTCCGCGGGCAATATCGTGCGCTCTCTGAACATTGTCTTCTAGATCACGTACATACTTATCCACCTCACCCTCCTTCCCATTTTGAAAAGACGTGGAAGGCGGTGGGGCGAACATCAAGGTTGCTGGTATATTTACTTCTCTACCCAGCATGAGACGATTTGGGGTATACCCAGTATGGCGGTTTACCGCGGAATGCAACGCTCCAGCCAATGGGCCTAAGTACTTATCGGAACTGAGGGTGATCTGAGCAGTGTGCGCGGGAATCCGCACTCCGCGGACTGAAACCGCATCGAGTACTGGTACTGACTCATCAACACTCATAGCAAATATAGTGTCAATGCCCTTGACCCTTAAAGTACCGGCTTCACATGAAATCTATACACCATGCTTATGCAGGAAATCTATGCCTAAGAGCATCTCATCCTGCAGAGAACTAATATAGATCGGGTGTACAAAGTCATAATCCCCGATGCGTATATTAAGACAACCGAGGTACTGAGCGGTCATACCAGCTCCCTCGCCAGCCAACCTAACATTAGTGTCACTTTATACTTCGGGCTGCGGCCTCAAAGACTTATAAACGTCACTAGATATTATTGATATGTCGGCTGTGGTATTGATTGTCGCTCGCATCTGTTGGCTTCCAATCTGTATCGGGATACGCCAAGCCCCCGAACCAACGACCTGACTACCGTACCTGACTGACGGGATAACATAGGTCGCGTTTACATTCGGCTCAGAGAACTTGACTTTAGTCTCATGTTTTGATGCGCAATGTCTGTCCTTTTCCTCGCTATTTACTGACTTAAGGCAAGGCTTAGGGGACCCGATCTACGCCGTCGCTGGCGGATCGGGCAATCGCGTAACAAATGTCCTGGCTCTTGACACTCAAAGCATATAATAGGTTTCGTCGCGCGAGAGCGGCCCCTACTCGGTGACGGAACCCTCGAGGATCCTCGCTCGGGACTTGATTTTCGGGTGCGTTCCTCCTAGTCACTGGAGTAATGTCTATTACCTGCATCCTAATCCGGTGACTCGGAGCGGTCCCTACTAGCGCGGCGATCAGAACGGTCTCTGCTGGCACGGCGAGGACGGTCCTCGCTAGCACGATGAAGACTGTCTCTGCTGGCACGATCTGGGGAACGGTCCTCGCTGGCACGATAAGGACGGTCCCTGCTGGCACGATTAGTGCGGTCCCTCGACTCTGAGCGCTCTCTGCGTGCCACGTAAAAATCTTGGCACTCAGAGTCTGACCGGGCGCGATAAAAACCTGTACTTGGTGACTGACTTCAGTCTCTGGAAAGCGATCTAACTGCCCTCGGCCGGCGGGCTAAAGCTCTACGGCTAAGTTGAAACGTCTTGACCCTCTTAATTGCCTCCTCGAGAGTCCTCGGGGGATAATTAATCAACTGTTGCCCCGCCTCGCCATCATTACACCCAAGAGCAAAACGGACGATTATTTGCTCCTGGAAAACCTCTGGCGAGGTGCAGCCACCGAACGCTTTCTGGGCAGTGTCCATTACCCTGTCCCCCCATTGCTCGATGGCTTCGTCTGGCTGATCGAATTAAATTCCAGCTGTGAGGCGGCTCTAAGGGAAGTCTTACCGAATCGCTCTTCCATCCGGAGAACGACCTCACGGAAACTTAATAGAGCACCTCGTCGCCTGAGGATGTCAAAGTACTTAAATGCTGCCCCCTCCAACGTAAGACTTAGGGCAAACAGAGAGTCGGGATCGCTCCACTGATGGTACTCGGCAATGGTAGAAAACTTCGAGAAAAACGGACCCCATTCTACGTCCCTGTTATATCTCACCCCTTTGACCTCGGCCGGAATATTTCTACTAATAAAGCTACGGGTACCCGCGGGAAGTAAGCTAGGCAATAGGCTCTGGTACGCGGTGGTCATTAACGAATGACCCTGTCCTGCATTATGCAGACCCCCCTGACTGGGCATAAACGACGGACTCCCCCCTAATGCTACTGACTCCCCAACCAACTTACCATAGTGGCAAGCGCCCTGACCACTCGAGTTAGCAACACTAGGATGCGCGGACGCTACGGGCATTGTCGCGGAAGTACCCACTCGGGTGCACCATGCAACTTGACCCGGAACCGGTGGGCCCGTGCTGGGAAGCACTGGGTAATCAGTCCCCCCTGACACGAAAGAACCCAAAGTAATAGTACTCGGCAACCCCGAGACTAAACTGTCATTGCCAAGTGAGGATAGGGACTGACCTTGAGACATTTGTACACTAGGTCCCCCCACAGAGACAGGCATATACCCCCCGCTATGGGCGGTCACTACAGGGTTACTAACAGGCACCTGATGTCCGGGTAGTGCGCTAGGGACCCAAGGACTCTCCTGGCTACTAGTCACTACAGGGCTGCTAACAGGCATCTGATGTCCGGGTGGTGCGCTAGGGACCCAAGGACTCCCCTGGCTACTAGTCACTACTGGCTGACTGACCCTATTATCCTGCGTGGGTGGGGGTGACTTGGGCTGACTGGTCTTCATTAACCCAGCCAACATCTGAGTAATGTTACCTAACTGGTCCCCCATACTTGTCTCCATGGCACCTATATTAGATCCCATCGACCCCAGCTGTTTTGACACACTGGTCCCCAGGGCATCTATCTCGGACCCCATGGTCCCAAACTGCTGTGAGACATTGGCCCCAAGGGTATATATGCCCCCCTCAGGGCCCCCATATCGGATATCCTGACCAAAGGTATCCATTCTATCGTTCACCACGCCTTTATCCCGACCCAGGGTGTCCACCCTCTTATTAATAGTGTCCATTTCCCCCTGGATCCGGTCTACCGCTCCCTCCAGTATATGCGGACGTTCCTGGAGGAGGGAATAAAAAGCGGACCATCCGGGTGTTTCCCCTGGACCCTCCGAAATAGCTCCCTGTGTGAATGACATGTCCCCCTCCCAATACTGAGTGACATTATCCGGGGCACCCTCCCCCCCCCTTGGGCACAGGTGTACTCGCCACACCCGGGACAAACTTCACACTCTTAGTAGGCGGGACTTTCCCTGGGCTGCACTCTAACGGGGCACCTAATAGACCACTCCGGTCTCCCCCCACCGAACGAGCATACCAACCCCCCTCGGGTCTCAAAGCCCCTCTACCAAGACCGAACGAGCTAACCTCCCGGTCCATAACACCGGTCCTCAGATCACACAAAAGTACAGTAAACTTTATTGAAAATACATAAAAATCTCTCGAGGCTAATCCGCTAAGATTAAATAAAACAATAAACTAAAAACACAAAGGCGTTAACCCTATACAGTTACATAATAAAAAACAAAGTTGCAATAATCCAAGATGGCGACGGCACTAACACGTGGCTCGGCCGGCACCCCGCTGCCCAGACAATAAAAAAACCCTGGATCACAGCGTCAATATAGTATTTTCACCTGTATCTACATAATGCTACTGTGATGGCGGAATAAATAGGCAAATACAATGAGGTAAAATCCGCACTTTATTGCTTTAGTGGTCGCCAATAATTTGTAACAATTACGCAAACTTACAGAGGACAATGTAACACGTCTTTTCGGGTCGACGATCAACAGAGAAGAGGGTGACGATTACGTCACAGCCCGCATCACTTCCGGGCACGTGGTGTCGAGGTTACTAGAGAAATCGTTCCCAGCTCCTCCATGATCACTACATATTGTAATCAGACCAAAACTGTAGGAGGATTGATTGATTGATTGTATATTGTTTAACGTCCCTCTCGAGAATTTTTCAATCATATGGAGACGTCACCGTATGCCGGTGAAGGGCTTCAAATTTTGACCTGTACTCGGCACACAGGGCCATTGAGCAGTGAGGGATCTTTATCGTGCCAACGCCTGCCGCTGACAAGGGGCCTCAGTTTTTAAGGTCTCATCCGAAGGACCCGCAACTTTCACTTCAAAGTGCCGAGCGCATGGCGAAGGAACAGTTACTACCCATTTTCACGACTAGGTCAGTCGCGGCCGAGATACGAACTCACGATATCCCGATCACGGAGCGAGCGCTCTACCGACTGAGCTACCGTGAACGGTAACTGTAGGAGGAATAGCATTTTGAAAGAATTTCACAAAAATTTCTATTTTTAGTAACCACGGCAACACCATTTATCGAAATCAAAAACCGATACACAGATTTATGTATCTTAGTGTATTCTACTTGTGCGATAAGTTATACTGAAATCAGACCAAATATTGAAGGGGAGTGCTCAAACTTTTCAACATACTTTACAGATGATCCTGAATGATTTACAATGGCAAACATGTCTGATATATTTAGATGACATCATAGTATTTGGATCAAATTTTGAAGAACACTTAACAAGAGTAAAAGAGGTTTTGAATAGAATTAGGCATGCAGGTTTGAAACTTAAGCCAAACAAATGTCAGTTATTTCAAAAGGAAGTTTCATTCTTGGGGCATGTCATCAACAAAGATGGAGTGAAACCAAACACAGACAATATTGATAAAATCCTTAATTGGCCAGTTCCGAGAACACCGACTGAGGTGCGACAAGTCATAGGCATGGCGTCCTATTATAGAAAAATTATTAAAGATTTTGCAAGCATCGTAAGTCCCCTAGTTAACTTAACAAAGAAGAGCAGTACCTTTCTGTGGACTGACGAATGTCAAGAGGCTTTTCAATTTAATAAAGATCTTCTTACTGGACCAGAAATTATGAGTTTCCCAACAATGGATGGAGAGTTCATACTTGATACAGATGCAAGCAATGTCAGTATTGGAGCTGTGTTGAGTCAGATACAAGACGGACAAGAAAAGGTTATAGCCTATGCCAGCAGGGTCCTAAACAAAGCTGAAACTAATTATTGTGTCACAGATAAAGAACTACTTGCAGTACGATATTTCGTTGAATACTTTCGACAATATCTTTTAGGGAGAAAATTTAAAATCAGAACAGATCACCAAGCTTTGGTTTGGTTATTCAAAATTAAAGAACCCAAGGTTAGAATCGCCAGATGGATTGAAATACTTTCTTCTTATGATTTCTCCATTGAATACAGATCTGGCCATAAACATGGCAATGCAGATGCACTTTCCAGATGTCCCGACCCACGAAACTGCCAGTGCAAGGAAGATGTGGATACAACACTGAAGTGTGGTCCATGTAAAAAGTGCATAAAGAGAGATGAAGAAACTCCAGAACGTAAGAGATGGCCTGATACAAAAGACAAAATTATTAATACCGCTCGTGTAATCACTCGTAATCAAACGAAGTCAGAAGTCACATATTGGCAAGATGTTTGTCTTCCAGTGGATATGGCAAAATTACAAAAAGAAGACCCGGACTTGAAACTGATATATAACTCAAAAGAACTAGGACAAAGACTAGAAGAAAATCTTACTAAAAATGCTAGCCCTTGTTGTAGATACTATTGCAACATTTATAACTATAGTCCTGCTGGACACGTTATTACAGGTAACGTAAATATAGTTCGTAATGAGGACCTTAGATCACTTATTTTAAAAGGTCCTAAATATAGGGAACCCCGATCCTTCAACTGGCGTCAGAATTTCATAAATATTATGGATTCTGTTGAAAATTACGGCAGACGATGGGCTAGATATGAAAAAGAAGACATTGACACCTTGTCAGAATGGATTAAATGTATCATATCCATGTTAAAGTCACGTTTTAAAAGATTGAGGGGCAAAATGAAAACCATCTATCCTTCTGTGTTCAATAAACCAGAAGTGAAAAAAGAATTAGATAGATTACACGATCAGTACGTACTGGTTCCTGCCGACAAAGCAGGTAACAACCTTGTCTTCGTTTGTAAGGCTCATTATATTAATTGCATTTTAGAAGAACTTGGATTTAATTCTACGAGTGGTAATCCTACTTATACATATACTACTCTTTCTAAGGAAGAAATCCTTCAAAATCACCTGTCAGTTTTTAATACTTTTAATATTCCACAGAGCCAAAATGAATTTGAACTACCTTATATATATTGGATTCCGAAACTTCATAAGAATCCTTACAAACAAAGATACATTGCAGGTTCCAGTAAATGTTCAACCAAGCCTCTTTCGTTACTTCTCACTAAAATATTGACAGTAGTGAAGGAAAAACTTCAAGAGTACTGTACAACTATATATTCAAGAAGTGGTGTAAATCAGATGTGGATACTTAAAAATTCTAAAGAACTTTTGGACAATTTGAAATCACAAGACTTTACAAAAATCAACAGCATAAAAACTTACGACTTTTCAACTTTATACACAACAATTCCGCACGACAAATTAAAATCCAGGCTTTTTGATATCATTGACAGCTGCTTCTTCAACAAAAATGGAACTCGTAAGTTTACTTACCTCGTCATTGGTCATTTGAAAAATTATTTTGTTAAAACAGATTCTGATTGTACACATAAGTACTCTGAAGTTGACATCAAGAAGATGCTTGAGTTTCTGATTGATAATATCTATGTGGTTTTTGGAGACCAGGTATTCCAACAATCTATTGGAATTCCC